CAATTATGTACAAACATACTATATACAGGATAAACAAGAAATAACAGAAAGAAGACACTAGTATCAAGAGGGATTAGGGAAGGCTTCCTATAGAAAAAGGGATTTAAGTTGGGACTTAAAGGAAGCCAGGGAAATTAGTAAGTGGATTTGAGAGTGAGCATTCCAAGCACAAGAGACAGCCAGAGAAAATAAGAGATGAAGGGTCTTGTTCATGGAACATCCAGGAGGCAGTGTCACTGGATCCAAGAGTATATGAAGGACTTTGAATGGCAAGCAGAGTATTTTTTAAATTTTTATTCATTTTTAACTGAAATATAAAAAGACAAAAAAGAGAACATTTTGTTGTACACAGCACAACATAAAAAGAGGATTTGACAAAAAACCATGAATGTCCATTTCATACTGTTTATTTTTTTTAAAAAAACTATGTAATAAATACTATACACCATTTTCAAAGCTACCCTGCTTTTCTGTGCTTCCTTCTAAGTTTTCTTTTGTTTTCTGCTGTGCACTTTTTATTTTTTTCTCCCTACCTAGGCCTAGAGAAGGCTACCATTAGACATAAATATGTATGTGTGTATAGACACACACACACATAGGTATATATGTAAAACCATACTATATATACTTTTATTTATCAGTTCTCTCTCTGGAAGTAAGCAGAGTATTTTGTATTTTATATCGGAGGCAATAGGAAGCCACTGGAGTTTATTGAATAGAGGGGTGACATGAATCAGACATATGTTTTAGGAAAATCACTTTGGTGGCTGAATGGAGGGTGGAATGGAGTGGGGAGAGACATGAAGCAGGCAGATTCCCCCAGCAGCTATTGCAATAGTCCAGGTGTTAGGTAATAAGGGTCTGCACCAAGATGGGGGCAGTGTCAGAGGAGAGAAGAGGGCTTATTGGAGAGATGCTGCAGAGGTGAAATAGACAAGAGAGAATGCAGAGGTGAATTAGAGGAGATGCTAAAAAGGTGAAATATGTAAGAAGCTAGGAGGTGAAATAGACAAGAGAGACTGGGAGGCCAAATAGATAAGAGAGTCTGTAGCAGTGAAATAGACAAGAGAGTTGCAAGGGGGTGAAATAGACAAGAAAGGCTGGAAGGTGAACTAGACTAGAGAGGTTGGGAGGTAAAATAGAGGAGATGCTAAAAAGATGAAATAGATGAGAGGCTGGGAGGTGAAATAGACAAGAGAGGCTAAGAGGTGAAATAGACAAGAGAGGCTGGGAGGTGCAATAGACTTGAGAGTTGCAATAGACATATGAGGCTGCAGAGGTGAAATTGGCAGGCCTTGTCAACAGCTTGGATATGGGGGATGAGAGAGAGGAGTCCAGTATTGGTTGGGAGTCTGGAGGACTAGAAGGATGGTGTTGTCCTCCACAGTAATAAGGAAAGTAGGATGGAGGATGGTTTTTGGGGGAGAAGATAATGAGTTCCGTTTTGGCCATGTTGAGTTTAAATGTCTACTGGACATTCAGTTTGAGATGTCTGAAAGGCAGTTGGAAATGCAAGGTGGGAAATCAACAGAGAGGTTAGGACAGGATAAGTAGATTAGAAAACCATCAGTATAGAGATGGTAATTAAGTCTATAGGAACTGATGAGATCACCAAGTGACATAGTATAGAAGGAAAAGAGAAGAGAGCCCAGGACAAAACACTGTGGTCACCTATGGTTACAGGATGTGACCTGGATGAAGATCCAGCAAAGGAGACAGAGAAGAAGCATTCAGAGAGGTAGGAGGAGAACCAGGTGAGAGTAGAGTCCTGAAAAACTAGACAGAAGAAAATATCAAGGAGGAGAGAGAGATCTACAGTGTCAAAGGCTTCAGGGAAGTCAAGGAAAATGAAGACTGAGAAATGGTCATTGGATTTAGCAACTAAGAGGTCATTAGTAACTTTGGGAGAGAGATGTTTCAGTGGAATTGTGAGGTTAAAAGCCAGAGGTTAAGAAGAGAGTGAGAGGGGCAGCTAGGTGGCGCAGTGGATAGAGCACCGGCCCTGAAGTCAGGAGGACCTGAGTTCAAATCCGGCCTCAGACCAAACATTTGACACTTACTAGCTGTGTGACTCTGGGTGAGTCACTTAACCCCAATTGCCTGGGGAAAAAAAAAAAAGAAGAGAGTGAGAGATGGGGCAGCTAGATGGCGCAGTGGATAGAGCACAGGACCTGAGTTCAAATCCAGTCTGAGACCAGACACTTGACACTAGCTGTGTTACTCTGGGCAAGTCACTTAACCCCAATTTGCCTCACAAAAGAGAGAGAGAGTGAGAGAGAGAGAGAGAGAGAGAGGAGAAAAAGTGGAGGCATCTATTATAGATAGTCTTTTCAATAAGTTTAATTAAGAAAGAGAGAAGAGAGATAGGACAATAGTGGGGATGGAAGGATCAACTGAGGGTTTTTTTTTTTTCAGGATAAGGGAGACATGGGCATGTTTGTACACTATAGGGAAGAGCCAGAAAAAGATTGAAGAGAAGTGAAAGAATGGTCATGATAGAGGGGGCAGTCTTTTGGAGGAGAACAGATAGGATGAGATTGCTTGAACAAGCAGAGGGGTCAGCCTTGGTAAGGAGTAAGACCACTTGATCGTGTGAAAAAGGGATGAAAGAAGAGAGAGAGAGACAGAAGGGACCTGAGTGACAGGAGATGAGGAAGAGGGGAGAAGAGGAGGCTCATGGAGAATGACCTCAATTTCTTCTGTAAGATATGAGACAAAGTTCTCAGCTAAGAGAGTGGGGAGAGAGGGAACCATGGAAGGTTTGAGGAGGGAATCAAAAGGTTTGGAAGGGCCTTTGTGGAGACTGGAATAGTGAGTTGAAAAAGGAGGTATAGTGGGATTGCCTAGGCCCAGTAGCAGTGAGGGTCCAGTTGAAGTTATATAACATAAATTTGTAGTGGATATAGTGAAAATAGTTGCATTCAGCAGCATATGTGTAGGAGCAAAGGTGGTTGAAGCTTGGCTAAGCATAATTGGTGATATGATAAGGGGCCTAGGGATACAATAGAGAATGACAGTGTAGAGTTGAATTGATTCACCAAAGAGTCAAGATGGGGAGAAGAGGAGAGTGGGTAATGCAGGGGAGGTGGCTGGGGAGACAAGGGAGGGGTCAAGGGATTGGAGGTCATGGTACAGATGAAGAGGAGGGTTATGTAAGGGGAAGCAGAAAGAGAGGTGAAAAGTAAATAGAGTATGGTCAGATAAGAGTATTTCAGAATTCTTGAATTTGGAAGTGCATTTCTGGGTAATGGCAAGATGGAGGGTATGACCATCTTTGTGTGGGGCTGAGGTGGAGTGAAGCAGTTCATGGAAGTGAGTAAGTTGAGGAGCTGAATGACTGTGGTGTTGGAGGGAGTGAAATCCCCAGGTATGAGGGCAGGAATGGCAGAGGAGAGAAAATTTCGAGCCGGATACCAGGCTCATCAAGGAAGGACGGGGAGTGACCAGAGGCCTGGAGACAAGAACTACCAGGATTTCGACTGGTATAGGTATATGGTAGGTATAGATTTGCATGAACTTCAAAGGAAAAGAGGTTACTAGGTGGTAGAAGTAGAGAGAGAGCCTGGAAATGGCAAAGCAAGGAAATCCAGCTTCCGTGAGCTTCATTTCCTCAACTTTTTTTTTTTTTTTTGGCTAGGCAATGGGGTTAAGTGACTTGCCTGGGGTCACACAGCTAGTAAGTGTTACGTATCTGAGGCTGGATTTGAACTCAGGTCCTCCTGAATCCAGGGCCAGTGCTGTATCCACTGCGCCACCTAGCTGCCCCCATTTCCTCAACTTTTTGCTTAAAAAAATTGCCGCTGATTTCTCTTGGGCCAGAGCCCTGTCTCCGGAGTCTTTAGGGCTCCAGATCTCATGCTCTTTCCAAGACTGGCAGACTCCTGGCTCACAGCCTAGTTGACTCAACAGCCTCTTGGGGGTTAGTGAGGGAGTATAAGGGTGTATTTGGAAGCCAACCTCTCCCAGGAGGGCTGGATAGGGTTAAAGTCCTGGGGGGTGGGGTGCAGAGGTCCACCATTAGCTCATTCACTGCCCTGAGGGTTTTCCTGTCCCTTTAGAAGGAGGAAGGAAAAAGTGGATTGGGAAGGGGCGAAGGGATCCAGCCGCTGCCCCGGGCCCTGGCTCAGCTTCGCTTTGCTTTGCTCATCTTGGCTTGTGCTAAGTTCCAGGTCGGCTGGACAATCATTCACTAGGCCCGTAGAGGCTCTCCTCTGCCTTCCCCTCCACAGAGCTGCTTATCAGCCCTAACCACCTTTGACCCAGGCGACGTAGGACCCGCCCTTTCCTGCCTTCCTCCCCCTGGCCTGCCAAGGGCTTCAGGGTCTGATCTTCCATGCGCAGCTCCCCCTCTACCCACACCCCAGCACCATGTTCTCCCTCACCTCCTGGCTCCCCTCACTGCCCTCCTTGGACTGGGGCTCCAGCTTACTGGACTCCCTCCTGCAAGGTTAGTCGCTGGCTATGCCCCATCCCCCAGCCCCATCTGTTGGGGTCTACCCTAGCTCCGTGGACTGCCTAGGTGTCCTCCCCAACCCTCTCCGACTCCCTGGGCTCCCCCTAGGCTTTCTCCATTTCTTCCCCTCTCTCTGTGTCTCTGCCGGACCCCAGGGGTGCCCCCATCCCTTCCCATCTCTCTGGAATCCCTGTATAATTCAGAGGTCCTTAACCTTTTGTGTGGCACATACCCCTTTGGCTTTTTGGTGAAGCCTGTGGACCCCTTCTCAGAAGAATGCTTTGAAATGCACAAAATAAAATGCACAGGATTACAAAGGATACAACTGTATCTCAATACAGTTACTTAAAAAAACAGACTCATGGACCCCAGGTTAAGAACCCCTTGTTAAATCTATTGCATCTCCCTGGGGTACGTTCTGTGTGCCTTTCCCTAGGGCTCTGGGCTTCCCTTATGTCTTTGTGGTTCCTCGGTCCTTCTAGCTCCCCCATTCCTCCACATCTCCCTAGAGTCTCTTCCTGTGTCTACAACTCCCCAGGGTCCCCCCTCCCCAATCCCTCTGAATCTCCCTAGGGTTCCACTATGTCTCTCTTAGCTCCCCAGAGTCCTCTGGGCTGTCCCTCCTCCGGCCTTTCTCCATCCCCCTCTTGGGTCCCCCCCCCCCCCCCCCCAACCCCCATTCCTGAATCTCTTCCTCACTCCCGGAGGCAAGCTTCCTTCTCCCCTGCTGCCCCATCTTTGTCTTGTCCTATCCCCCATGTACATCCTCTGGTCCCTCTATGTCCCATCTCCCTCCCCTCCCACCTTACCTTCTTCCTCCCTCCTTCCCTGAAATCTCTCCTTCCCTTCCCCCGAGGGGCTTCCTAGGGCTGAACAGCATCATTGTCTCTCCCCTCTCTCAGGCCTGATTGGAGCCTGTGGAGTCTCTGTCCTTGGCAGCTTCATGAAAATCTATTTCTTCATCTACTGTGTGAAGTGAGTGACCCATTCTTCTCTTCCCCCTTCCTCCTATTTCTCTGAACTGAGGGCTAGGTGGGGCTGAGGTAGAAGGAATCCCAGGGGCACGGAGGAAGCCTTGACTTACATCCCAGGAAAGAGGTGGGTTACTGAGTTTCTCTCTGGGCTCCGGATTCTCCTATTTTAAAAATTAAGTAGTTTGTCTGAGGGGTCCCTAGGGTCCTTTCCAATACTCCCTGGGCTGTAGGCTGACCCGGGGCCTGAGCTTTTCCCCTCCTGACATTCTGTGCCTCAATGGCTCTGACTGTCTGTGGCTCTGTGGGTCCCTGTGGGGAGGCCTAATGATTGAGCTTCCACACCATGGCTCTCCCTTGTTTCTTCCCACAGTGATCCCAAGAGAAAGAAGGAAAAGGAGTACCTGGTTTCCCAGTGGGCAGTGCTGGAGCCCCTGCACCTGCTGGGGCTGACGGCCTTCCTCGCCGTGGTCGGGGTCCGAGTGGCTGCCCTCGTGGTATTGGAGTTCTCACTCCGGGCCGTCTCTATGCTGCTGACCTTGAACAAGGTGAGACCAAGGGACTGGGGGTGGGGTGGGGGGCCTTCCCCACTACTGTCAGTGACCTGACCATATGCTCTGCAGTGTGCAAGGCACTGAATAGGGGAAGGGAGGGGAGGGGAGAGAAAAGCCCTCAGGGACCCAACCCCATCACTGGAGACTTGGGTCAAGCCAGACCCTGTAGGAAGAGGCATGAAGGCCGGCATCCTAGGATGCTGTCCTAAGACCTGACTCTAGTGGTTATGCCCAGCTGGCATGGTGGGGTCAGCACCTGACCCTGGGCTTGGGGCTGGAAGGACCAGTACGAGCAGCCTCCTAGCCCATGGTTCAGAGGCCACTCCCCTGCCTATACAACCTATGTGGAAGATGTCTGACTTGCAGATTTTGGGTAGAGGGACAGAGGTCCTAAACGGAAGAAGGCCATGAAGTAAGGAGAAATAGTGTCGCTGGATGAGACGTGGGACCTGGTTCTGGCTCTGCCTTTAACTCTGTAAGCTTGGGGCTCAGTTTCTCCGTCTATACAATGAAAAGGGTGGATTAGCTTATTTTTAAGGTCCTGGGCACTCTGCCATTCCAGGTTCTAAGGGACCTCCCTTGCTCGGACATCCTGAGATTCAGAGGTTCTGAGATTCTTGGTTTTTTGTGGGCCTGAGCCGTTGTCCTACCCCTTCTCCCTTCCCCCAATTCCAGGGCCCACTGGTCCCCGAGTTCCTCCAGCTCTTCCTTCTGTGCCAGTATTCCCTGGGCTGTGGGCTGACCTGCAGCCTGAGCTTCCTGCTGGAGGGGGCGCCACACCGCACTCTCAACTTGCTGCTCAGTCTGGGGCTGGCAGGACTTCTGGCGAGTGGGGCCCGGCGTCTGTACCACCATGCCTGCCGCCTCTATGAACTGCACAGCTGCGAGCAGTACTGCGGAGCCTGCCTCACCCTGCTGGCCAAGTGGCACGACCTCCCCACCCTGCTGGGCTGCGCCTTGCGCGTGGCCTTCCTGGTGGGCGACGTGGCGGCCGTGGCCCTCATCAACCGTGACTTCCTCACCACCTCAGAGGCCGTGCGCTTCTGGACTCCGCTTACCATCTGCTACACCTTGCTGGTCATCTACATGCAGGGTGAGGGGTCCTGGGCAGGGTCAGAGGCCAGGGAAAAAGGGAACCCAGGAAAAGATCTGCAGGGAGCACCACGGGGAGGAATGTTGTGGGTTCCAGGAACCTGTGGGATTTGTGGCCGTAAGAGAGGGACACCCAAAGACCATGAAGAGCAGGGGAGGAAGATTTCTGAGAAAACTCCTCAGGCAGTGAACCTTGGGAGGCAAGGACCACCAGAAGGGAATAGCAAGGACGGGGGAACAAGGAGAGGCCAGGAAAGGGGGAGCCTCCTGTACGGAACATTAATCATCATCATCATCATCATTTTATATCACTTTAGGTTTTACAGTAGAGAATGTCAATAATAATATTATTGTTTATGGCTATCATTTTGACAGTTTATATATAAAAAGCTTATATATATAAAGTTTATATATAAAAGCTATATATATAGCTTTAAGGTTTATAAAGCATTTTACACTTGATCTTTACAACATCTCTGTGACGCAGGAGCTATTATTCATCCCCATTTTACAGATGAGGAAACTGAATCAGGAAACAGTTAAATGACTTGGCCAGAGTCACACAGCTAGTGTCTAAGAAAAACTGTAGAAGACCTAAGTTTGAATCCCAGAGTGTTGGACTAGGAGGTCAGAAAGATCTGGGGCTCAAATCCCAAATCAGATACTAGCTGTGGGACCCTATGCAAGTGACTTTACCTTTCCTTTATTTGAATTCTGGTCTTTCTGACTTCGAGTCCAGCATTCTACCTACTGAGCCACCTAGAGGGAGGTGACAGATGGAGGCCACAGAGTGAGAAAGCATGGGGTGATACCGTCCAATGTGGCCTTAGAGAGGAGGCCAAGCAGTTTATAAAACGGGGATTACTTATAGCTCCTACCTCCCAGGGCTGTTGCCCAGGTTGAAGAAAACCACATGTAAAGCACTTTGCAAATAAATCTGAAAGCACTTTAGATACCCGAGCTATTGCTATTACTGGGGGAGGAGAATATTCAGAAGTGAATCCTTTATGTGGTTGGAAGTGGTAAGAGGGAGGAAGATGTGGGAGACTCATGTTGAGGAGAGGATTGAAGAGGGAGTCATTAGGTGAGTGAGGAAACCTGGGAGGTCATGAATCCACAAGGATAGTGAGAAGGGGAGAAGGGGTGAGGGCGTCCTGGCTAGGACACTCAGCCGCACTGTGCCCTTCACACAGAAGAGCAGCGACACCATCCGAGCACACGGAGCCAATACCAGACGGTGTTCGTGCGAATGGGCGGCCTCTTTATCCTCCTGCTGACCGTCGGCCGCTGGCTGGACCTCATGGGCGTCTTCATCTCCCTCTTTGGGGAGCTCTGGTGCCTGGCTAGTTCTCGAGTCCTGCTTGACCTCTGTCAGAAGCAGGTAGGACCTGGGATCCCCCACTCTCCAAAATCCTTCCATGGAGACCACAAACTTGGAATGTTCCCCATAGCAATGATTGGGGGGAGGTGGGGGGCCAGATGAGGAATCCAGGGGACACTAAGGTTGGAGGGACAATGTCAAGAGGGCAGCCTGGTGTGCCCAGCAATGTTCCCCTGATACCGCTGGATGTAGGTGCAATTCCCAAGGGTCAGGAGCTGAAACTGAGAGGTTCTAGGCCAGGAGTGGGGAACCTGTGGTCTCGAGGCCACATGTGGCTTTCTAGGTCTTTGGGTGTGGCCTTTTGACTGAGTCCGAGTTTTACAGAACAAGTCCTTTTATTAAGGGACACATTCTGTGAAGTTTGGCTTCAGTGAAAGGGCTGTACTTGAGGACACAGAGGGCCACATGTGCCTCGAGGCCACAAGTTCCCCACCATTGTTCTAGGCTATAAGGTAGTGGTTCTCAAACTGTGGTCTCAGGATCTCTTTACACGTTTAAAAATTATTCAGGACCTCCCAAAGAACTTTTATTTATGTGGGTTATATCTGTTGATACTTCCTGTATTAGAAATTAATACAGTAGTATTACTTAGTATTATTATCTTAGGGTTATTATTGTTGTTGTTTAGTTGTTTCAGTCACATCTGACTCTTCGTGACTGCATTTGGGGTTTTCATGGCAAAGATACTGGAGTGATTTTCTGTTTCCTTTTCCAGCTCATTTTACAGATGAGGAAACTGAGGCAAACAGGATTAAGTGACTTGCCCAGGGTCACACAGCTGGTAAGTGTCTGAGGCTGGATTTGAACTTAGGTCCTCCTGACCCCAGGGCCAGTGTTCTATCCACTGCACCACCCAGCTGCCCCCATCTTAGTGTTATTATGAAAATGATTTTGACCTCCTAGACCCTCGTTGATCCTTAGACCGCATTTTGAGAACCATGGCTAGGGGAAAAACTGTGGAGGACCTAAGTTTGAATCCCAGAGTGTTGAACTAGGGGGTCAGAAAGACATGGGGCTCAAATCCCAAATCAGATACTAGCTGTGAGGGGGCAGCTAGGTGGCGCAGTGAATAGAGCACCGGCCCTGGATTCAGGAGGACCTGAGTTCAAATGTGATCTCAGACTCATAACACTTACTAGCTGTGTGACCCTGGGCAAGTCACTTAACCCCATTGCCTGGCCAAAACAAAACAAACAAAAAAACCCGATACTAGCTGTGGGACCCTATGCAAGCAACTTTACCTTTCCAAGCTTAACAGTTTTCCCATCTGCCAAATGGGGTTGATGATACAACCTACTTAAGTGGGTTGTTGTGAGGTTTAAATGAGGTCTTATATGCAAAATGCCTAGAGACAGCCAGGTGGTGAAGTAGATAGAGCACAGGACCTGGAGTCAGGAAGACTTGAGTTCAAATCCAGCCTCAGATACTTACTAGCTGCGTGACCTTGGGCAAGTCACTGTGTCCTGTCTGCCTCAGTTTCCTCATTTATGAAATGAGCTGGAGAAGGAAATGGCAAACCACTCCAGGATCTTTGCTGAGAAAAACCCCAAAATGGGGTCATGAAAAGTTGGATACAATAAATAACAATAGCAAAATGCTATTACTATTATTGTTGCTTGCTATCAGTTATTTTGGATGAGTTGTTTACCCTTTCTGTCCCTCAGTTTCCTACTCTGTAAAATGAGAGAAATCATATTAGACGGTCTGTAAGGTCCCTTCCCTTTCTAATCCTGTGATCCATGTATCCAGCTTATTAGACATCTCCCTGAATCTCTAAAAAATTTTTGTTTTCTCCCACTAGTCCCTGGCCCTGCCCAACTCCAAAAAGTGGCCCAGGCTGCTTTGGCTCCCAGAGACGTCACAGATCATCATGAATTGAAAGTAGGAAGGGGGGAAAAAAAAGTAGGAAGAGAACTTAAAGGTCATCAGGTCCAACCTCCTCATTTTATAGATGAGAAAATTAAGAGACAGAAGAGGTTGAATGACTTGCCCAAGGTCATATAGCTAATGTTTCCTTTTTTTCCTACTTTATTTACTTTAACATTTATTTTTAAAAATTTTGAGTTCCAGGGCAGCTAGGTGGCACAGTAGGTAGAGCACCGGCCCTGGATTCAGGAGAACCTGAGTTCAAATGCACCCTCAGACACATAACACTTATTAGCTGTGTGACCCTGGGCAAGTCACTTAACCCCATTGCCCAGCCAAAACAAAACAAAAATTTTTGAGTTCCAAATTTTCTCTCCCTCTAGCCCCTCCCTCACCCATTGAGAAGGCAAGCAATATGATACCAGTTATACATGTGAAGTCAGTCAAAACACATTTCTATATTAGCCATGTTGCACTAATGAGTGTCTGAGGTAGGATTTGAGCCCAAGGTCTTCCTGGCCACAGGTCCAGAATTGTATCCATCATGCCATACTGCCTCAGCTCAGCATCCTCAGAATCCTATGGCTGAGAGTCAGCCTAGAGCACTGGACCTAGAGGCAGGAAGATCTGGGTTCAAATCTCACGTCAAAGACTCAATAGCTTTGAGACTTTGGCCAAGTCTTTGAATCCTGGCTTCCTCACTTGTAGAATGAGAATTAGTAATAGCACCTACCTACCAGGTGGCTAGGTAGCTCAGTGAAATGCTGAGCCTGAAGTCAGGAAGACCTAAGTTCAAATCTGGCCTCCGACCCTCACTAGTTGTGGGACCCTGGGTAAGTCACTTTACCTCTGTCTGCCTTAATCCACTGGAGAAGGAAATGGAAAACGACTCCAGTATCTTTGCCAAGAAAACCCCATGTAGAGTCATGAAGAGTTAGATATGACTGACTACAACCTACCTCACAGGATGGTTGTAAGACTCAAATGATAGGGAGCAGCTAGGTGGCTCAGTGGATAGAGCACTGGCCCTGGAGTCAGGAGGACCTGAGTTCAAATCTGGCCTCAGACCGGACTAGCTGTGTGACCCTGGGCAAGTCACTTAATCCCAACTGCCTAAAAATGAAAAAAAAAATAAGAGATTCAAATGAGATAATGGATTTTGCTTTGCAAACCTTCAGGTGCTCTCTCTATATGCTTTATCATATATATGTATGTGTGTGTGTGTGTACATATATATATATGAATAACTATTGTTATTCCTAGCATTAAAGGGGATGGTCTCTTATTCATTCTGTCTTGCTCAGGATCTCTCCCAGATACCTTCTGTGGTAGCACCGAGTCAGTAGAAGCCAGAAGTTCAACCTGAGCCCCACCTCTCCAAAGATAAGGCTCATTCCTAAGATCAGGATGGCAGAAGTGTGAGCTCTTCCAGGACCTGGAGCCCAGCAAGGACTGACCTACTGTGGGGGAGGTCTTAGAAGGACAGAGCTGGAGATATAGCCCTGCTGGACGGGGCCACCCTAGGACTCTTCTGTGGTCCAGAAGGAAAGAATTCTGTTGGCCTGCAGAAAGGACTCCTTGGAGATAGTGGAGTTTCCAAATCAGAGCCAGGCCTGGACCGGACAGAGAGAACCCAGCTCAAATTTGGTATTATGGTCGTTGAACTAAGGTTAAGCTGCTGATCTTATCCCCTGTTTACCTCTTCGGGCGGAAGGAATGGGCAGCTGACAGTCCTCGGTGGTGGGAAGGATCCTGTACCATCCCCTCTCTGGCCTCCCTTCCTTGTCTCATAAGAAATAAAATATTCAGACCCTTCCCACAGTGTGTTATCACAGAGCCCATTCCAGCTCAAATGTTCTTAGAGGCCATCTAGCCCCAAATAGGGAGACTAAAGTCCAAAGAGAGCAGATGGCTTGTCTAAGGTTACACGGCCAATTGGTGGAAGAGTAGAATTCAGAACCTGCAGCCTGGCTGCAGAGGGAAAGGAGCTGAACCTGGAGATGAAGATCCCTGTCACAGAAATGTATGAGTAATGATGAGATAGGTATGGCCACAGTGTAGTAATCATTTATAATGTACCCAACGCCGGGGGGAATACAGCTGAATCTCCGAGTTGGATGGGCTCTCAGTGGCTCCCTATTCCAACCTCTGAGTAGGAATTCCTTTTACAACAGCTTGGACAAGTGTAATCCAGCCTTCACTTGAGGACCTCCAGGAATGAAGAATTTGCCCCATTTTGAGATAGCCCCTTCTGCTTTGGGACAGCTCTTGTTGTCAGGAAGTCTTCCAAATCCCTCTGCCATTTCTACCTGTTGAGTCCTGTGCTGCTCTGTGGACCCAAGCAGAACCAGTCATAAGGGAAAAACATATCATGGTAACATCTGTCCCAAAGTGGGGGGTGGCTCAGGAAGGAATGGGGTTCGCCCTCTCTAGAAGACTCAAGGTCAGGCCATTTGACTGGCTCCTTGGGTCCAAGAGATTGTAGAAAGAATTCTTGGACTAGATGACCACTAAAGAAAGACCATAGCAACTCTGAGAATCAGTGATTCTGTAAAGTCGAACTCCTCTTCCAAAGGACAGCCTTTCAAAAGCTTAAAAAGAATCATCATGGGGGCAGCTAGGTGGCGCAGTGGATAGAGCACCGGCCCTGAAGTCAGGAGGACCTGAGTTCAAATCTGGCCTCAGACCAAGCACTTGACACTAGCTGCGTGACCCTGGGCAAGTCACTTAACCCCAATTACCTCAAAAAAAAAAAAAAAAAGTCATCATGTTCCCTCTCTGAGTTTTCCTTTCTTTAAACTAAATATTCCCAGTTCCTTTAACTATTTCTCGTGCGTCAGGGGTCCTTCCCCATCCACATTGTCCTGTAGCAGATGTACTCTCTTGACACATGCATACACGATCCTCTAAATAAGGCCAAGAAAACATGGTGGCTTTCCCCTCCCTAGTCCTCACTGCAGACTGAGCTCCCATTTTTGGCCACTGTATCCCACTGTTCCCTCTGTTGACTCATCGACCGGCTTAAGAAAATGAGGGTTGACTCAGTTTTGGAGATGACACTTAGACACATAAAAACTGAATATCTATGCCATACTCTGTGACTAATTAAGGCCTAATCTGGTGGCAAAGCATTTAGAATTTGCAGTGAGTAAAGTCAGTACTAGCAATGAGTCAGATAGGAAGCTGCCTTGGGCACAATGAAGGATGCTTATTTATATTCACTTTTTTAAGGTTCTTTTCTTTTTCTTTCTGATTTAAGAAAGGAGAGGCAGTAGAGTATTGGTCTCAGACTCAGGAACACTAGGATTTGAGTCTAGCCTCTGACACACTGGCTGTGGGCAAGTCATTTAACCTCTTAAGGCTCTAGGCAATTATCTAAGACCTCAACTTGTGAAGATGGTGCCAGTCTACATTGGAGTTACCAACATCAGTGAAATCTCTGGTCTACTTCCTATCCCCTATCCTTTTCCCCCTCAATCTATTATTGATGCTCATCTCTTTTTTTTTGTATCAATCTTTTATGTATTTTAATCGTATTTTATCTTCTCCCCAATTACATGTAAGACAATTTTTAGCATTCATTTTTACAAAATTCTGAGTTCCAGATTTTTCTCCCTCCCTCCATCCCCTCCTCTCTTCCTAAAATGGTAAGCAATTTGATATAGATAATACATGTGGTATCACGTAAAACTTATTTCCATATTAGTTCATATTAGTGAAATAAGATACAGATCAAAGGGGAAAAAACCATGAAAAATAATAAAGTGAAAAAAGTATCCTTTGATCTGCATTCAGAGTCCATCAGTTCTTTATCTGGATGTGGATGGCCTTTTCCTTCGTGAGTCCTTTATACTTATCTTGGATCATTGTGTTGCTGAGAAGAGCTGGGTCATTCATAGCTGGTCATGACACAATGTTGCTGATACTATGTACAGTATTTTCCTGGTTCTGCTTATTTCGCTTTGCATCAGTTCATACAAGTCTTTCCAGGTTTTTCTGAAACCCGTCTGCTCATCATTTCTTATTGCACAGTAGTATTCCATTATATTCCTAGTAGTGATATTGCTGGATCAAAGGGTATGCACAGTTTGGTTGCTTTTTGGGCATTGTTCCAAATTGCTCTCCAGATGGTAGGATCAGTTCACAAGTTTATGAACAGTACATTAATGTCCTAGTTTTCCGACATCCTCTCCAACATTTATCGTTTTCCTTTTTTGTTAAAGTAACCAATCTGATAGGTGTGAGTTGTTTTAATTTGCATTTCTCTAATCAAAAGTGATTTAGAGCACATCTTCATATGCTTATAGATAGCTTTGATTTCTTCATCTAAAAATTATTTGTTTACATCCTTTGATCATTTATCAATTGGGAAATGGTTTGTATTCTTATAAATTTGACTCAGTTCTAAACATATTTGAGAAATGGGGAGGATTCTGATTTTTGATCCACTTTGCTATCCACTTCCATTAGAGTTTATCCCTTTCACATTCACAGTTATGAATGGGCACTGCCTCAGTCAAACTGAGACCTGTTAAAGACCTTAGCTTGAAAAAGCCAAGGTCCCCATTACATCCTGGGCCACCTCCAGTTGTCCTGATCCATATCTGGCCATTGGACCAAGATGACTTTGGAGGAGAAAGTGAGGCTGGTGACTTTGCACAGCCCAGCCTCATTTAAATCTAATTCACTTGCAAGTCATGGCATCACCTACCTGATGTCATGGTCCAATGTGAGAACAAATGACAAAACAGTATGATTACTGTGTATTTTCCTCCATCCTATCTTTTTCCTGTTTGTCCTCTCTCTCCTTTCACCCTTTCTCTCCTCAACAGTGTTTTGCTTCTGTCCACCACCTCCCTTGGTTTGCTCTCTCTTCTATCAGTGCCCCCCCTTACTCAATTTCCTCCTTTTCTACTTTACTGTCAGGTAAAATAGATTTCTATATTCAACTGATTGTGTATATTATTCCCATTACTGATGAGAGTAAGGTTCAAGTGATGCCCATTGCCCACTGTCCCATCTTTCTCTTCACTGTAATAGGTTATTTTGTTTGTTTTTAATGAGGCAATTGGGGTTAAGTGACTTGCCCAGGGTCACACAGCTAGTAAGCGTCAAGTGTCTGAGGTTGGATGTGAACTCAAGTCCTCCTAACTCCAAGGCTGGAGCTCTATCTACTGTGCTACCTAGCTGACCCTTGTGATAGGTTTTTTGGGACCTCTTCATGTGAAATAATTTACCCCATTCTACCTCTTCCTTCCTTCTGCATCCAGTGTACTCTTTTCTCCTATCTTAATTATTTTTCTGTTTCATTCACTCAAATTCGCCTTATACCCATACCCTCTGTCTATGTTTACTCCACCATCTTGGCTTCTGGAATTCTCACCTCTTTTTTAAAACTATATTGTCACTTCTCAATGACTTTCCCTCTCCTTGGCCTACTTCTTTCACCCTCTGCTCCAGCCACGTATGAAAATGGATGCCTCATTCCATACCTCTGGGTTGAGTGGGAGGAGAAAGGCTTCACCATCAGTTCCCTGGAGCCCTGCTTGGACACTAAATTGTTCAGGGCTCTGATGCCTCTTAATGTTGTTTTTACATTGTAATCTGCGTAATTTCTCCATGTCCTGCTCCCTACCAAATCTCCCCAAGTTTCTCTGACTTCTTCAAATTCACCATTTCTTTTTTTTTCTTTCCTTTTTTTTTTTTTAGGCAATTGGGGTTAAGTGACTTGCCCAGGGTCACACAGCTAGTAAGTGTCAAGTGTTTGGTCTGAGGCCAGATTTGAACTCAGGTTCTCCTGACTCCAGGGTCGGTGCTCTATTCACTGCGCCACCTAACTGCCCCTTAAGTTCACCATTTCTTAAGGTGCATCAATATGGCCTTTATTCATGTACCGCAACTTGTTCAGCCATACCCTAACTGATGGGCACCTACTTCCCTTCCAGTTGTGTGATGCCACAAATAAGTGTGGCTATAAATATTTTGTCAATAGGTGACCTTTACCTACCTCTCTGACCTCCTGGGGAAGGGTATTCTTTTTTTTTCTATAAATGCATGTATTCATTTATTAATAGATCTGTAATCTAATTGCTATGGGTACTTTCTTCAGTGGTACAGATCATCTATCAATGTCTTCTCTTCCAGTTCAGTCTCATCTCTGTTCTCCCACAATCCTCCACAGGGTTTTCATCCAGGGTGCTGGGATCCTTCCTCTACATAAGATCCTTTGAGTTTAGGTCGATGCCAGTAGAGCTCGGACGCTGTCAGTTAACCCTTGCACCCTTGCCACCCTTCACAATCTAGATCCCTTTCCAAGCTTATTTCACATACTTGCTATTGCTTGAACTTGGCACTCTTCCTTGACCCCCCCCACCTCTCAACCACCTTTGCCCCCCACAGCTGCCTTTGTACAGATTATCTCCCATGCCTCCTACCCTAAGCTTCTTAAAATACCTCCATGGCATATGTGTGTGTATATATATATCTCCAATCGTGCAAATAAAGTGAAAAATAGTATGCTTCAGTCTGTATTCAGATACCATCAGTTTTTTCTCTGAAGGTGAATAGAATTTTTCATCATAAGTTCTTTGGGGGGAAGCTAGGTGGCTTTTGTTTTGACATCTTCATATTTTTCCCCAATATCCCTCCATCTGCCCCCAAGCCCCTCCAGAGAGCCATGCCATCCCATATAATTAATAGTGTGTTTTTAAAGACCAAAAAAAAAGGGAAAGAAGAAAAAACCAGCAGAACTGATCAACAATGAAAAGTCTGGAAATGTGTCTGATGTTCACTTGTGGACCTCCTACCTCTGCAAA